CAAACAACAGAAAATCATACATTGTCATAGTGATCTTTAAAATACATTTACCTTAGTTATGGAATTTGTAATTTAGAAAAATAAAAATTCACATTTCATGAACAAAATAACTGTAAATATGAAGGAAATCACAGGTAGCAACATTTTTGTTCATGCCTCAAGTCACATACATTTTTTTTTCTTTCTTGAAGACAGACCTTCCAGTCAACAAGCTGATTTTACATAATCAGTCCTGTTAGAAGGCACACAGTTTCAAATTAAGTCCAGATACTGATGAAGGCATGACCAACAAGCCATGCAAGTCACAATCCCTGTTAGTTATCAAATTTAAAGTGTATAGTTTTGTTTATAGTAATATAGTTGGAACACAAGTCATTGAAAATGACACAGTCCCCGTTAAATTTTTGAAAGTTCTCTTTGTGCTCGTCGTATTAAAATGGAGGGGTTGTCATGAGCGTGTCCTTGAAACTTGAGTTCCAAGTGGCGTATACAACAGATTGTTTATTTACATCAAAACATGTGTTCCGTGTAGTAGTAATATAGCCAAAAATAAAAACGGCCGTTTTTCGACCATCTTTGATCTGATTATGAAACACACTGATATGTATGATGTATGTGCCAAATACAAATGAAAATGGTACATAAATTGTGAAAATATAGTAGTAAGGCCAAAAAGTCAGATGGCTGTCAGACGGCCATCCTTGACCAATTTTTGAAACAAATTGTTATGGACATGCATTGTAACATGTATAAAGTACATGTATGTGCCAAATTTGAATAAAAACTGACGGAGCACGTCCAAGATACCGCATAAAAAAAAAATGCCTGCCAGTCGACCATCTTTGATCCAATAGCGAAATAAATCATCATGGACATGTATCCTAACATATATAATCTATGTACCAAGTTTGAATGACAACTGACAAAGCATGTCCAAAATACAACATTTTCAAATAAAAGAAAGCTTAGAAAGAACTCCCATGTGCCGAGAGTATTGGAGACACACTAAATATAATTTGAAATTACTTACTGAAAACTAATTATGCAAATCAGAAAATTAACATGAATAGATATGATTGTAAAACTAATGAAGTCTGCGCAATGTAACAAAAACTCTATGTACCAAGTTTAATTGAAATGTGATTAGAACCAAAAAATTATGAATTATTATGCTAATTAGGGAAATAATATGAACAGAGTTTTACCCCAAACTAATTAGGTTTGTACATTGTCCTAGAGCATCTTTGTACTAAGTTTCATTAAAATGGAAATTAGTACTTTAGATATCAGTGTGAAAGCTTAAAATTGGTTAATTATGCAAATTGGGTAATTAATATGTACAGATTTTAACCCACAATTATCCAGGTCTGTCTATTGTCCTACAGCATCCATGTATAAACATTCATTGATATGTGATGACTAGTACCTGAGATATCAGTGTGAAAGTTGGAAATTGGCTAATTATGCAAATTAGGTGATTAATATGCACAAATATTTACCAAAAACTAATTGGGTCTCTGCATAATTCTAGATTCATTGAAATGTGATGATTAGTACTTTAGATATCAGTAGAAAAGCTGAAAATTAATTATGCAAATTAGGAAATTAATATGCACAATTATTTACCCTGAAACTAATCAGGTCTCTGCATAGTCCTAAAGGATCTATGTACCAAGTTTCATTGAAATGCGATGATTAGTACTTGAGATACCCGTGGAAAAGCTGAAAATTAACTAATTATGCAAATTAGGTGATTAATACGCACAAATATTTATCCGAAACAATCTCTGCATAGTCCTTGAGTATGTAAGTACCAAGTTTCATTGAAATCTAATGCTCACTACTTATATCAAAAGCTGAAAATTAATTAATTATGCAAATTAGGTAATTATATGTACTGATATTACCATAAAAACTATCAGGTCTGTGCAGTGTCATATGACATCTATGTACCAAGTTTCATTGAAATGCGATGATTAGTACAGTACAGTTCTCGCAGAAGCTTTGGCTTCACTTCAGCTTCACCTTCGCTTCAGCATCGCATCATTATGGCATTGTTATGGCTTCAGCATCGCTTCAATGTCGCGACATTAAAAAGTTAGGCGATTATCGCTTCGCTTCATTGTGGCCTCGTTACGGCGACAATGTGGCATCAGCATCGCTTCATCAAACAAAGAAGTACTGTACTCATTTCCCCCAAACCTCTTGACCGCTTCCGCTTTTGACCGGTCAATTTCCGTTTTATTTTCGACCGTGCAACAATTCGGACTACTAAAAATTTTCTGGTTTTCATAGATCACGGTTGCATAGATGTTGAACAACCGTCAAAAGTTCAAATACTTTTTGTTTTAACTATCTATAATTATATGCACGCAATCTGACCCTTTGACCTAGATTTGGCTGGGATTGAATATTTTATTTTAGACAATATTCCGACGTGACGCACTGCTACAAAATGTATTCAACAGAAGTACAACATGGTTGTCTGGGTTTCTTTTCCTGATTGTGTTGAGTTTACGATTTGTATAATTATTGTTGTTTCCCCCCAAGCAGAAGACAAGCCAAAGGACCATGAAGCTAAATAGAATTCCCACGCATGGACGTGTACTGAGTGAAAGAAAATATTTCTAAGGCTCAAATAAAAATGACCTACTATTACACCTCTTTGTGTATTTGTCAATTTTGTATATATTTGGTATGATCGTATGATCGTAAATACCTAGAAAAATCTCGTCATTCGTTAATAATTTCATTTGTTTGAAATGTCCACCGACCGTAATTTGTTTCTTCAAACGGTCCCGACGTCCGTCATTCAACACAATCAGCATTTATTTATCGCAATTCATGGGGATCATGTCCCGTAATTTGCGGGCTGTACAACCAAATAATTAAACAAGTACTATTTGATGTATT